TAAATAGACAGTATATTAATAATCATAAATATAAACAAGCCATGTGGGATGTGTTTATGTTTGTATATAGAGTTTTTAGATAGTATGCTGGAGTAACTGATCACATCTCCAAAACAGAACTTAAACGGGGTAGTGGTAGTGGTAGGGGGAGTAGGGTTATTTATGATTTTGCAGATACAAAATTGGGCCTAAGAAATGAAAATATTAGATTGGGCTCAAGATATTTATTTATTGTGGATCATAAACTAGTAATAAGCCCAAAACCTCGAAGTGAAACAAAGCGTTCTAGACAAAAAGAGGAGAGAGAAAATCATTCCTCTACGAAGAGAAATAGAGATTTAAAGATTCAAGATTGTTCTTCTTCTTCTTCAGTTCTTCTTCTCAAAAGGGTAGATGGCTTGGAGACAGATTCTCACTCAGGTCAGCATCACTGCATCAGCTCAAGATTAGATTTTTTTTTCATTTGTTTTGATTGATTGATTGGTTCTTGAGTTGTAATTTTTAAACCCCACCTTCTTTGCAATCAGATTATAAGAACCCCTATGTTTTCAGTACGATGTAGGGTTTCTTTAATATGAAAACCATGGTTCTGGATTGCTGGGGTTTTGATTTTATCATTTTTTTTGTAATTTTTTCATCAAACATGACAGGTGTCGAGACAAGGACAGGAGTTGCAATATATCAAGAATTCCATTTTTAGAACTCGTCTTTCAGGTGACCTATTTTACAATATAGATACACTGTCTATGTATAGCTTCTATTTTGATCATTGTTTTTCTTCAAGGGTTTTGACGTTCGAGTTGATTTGTTTTCTATTGATTCTGATTGATTGTTTTGATTAGTGATTGATTGATTAAATACATTCTTCTTGAAGATGTGTCACAAACAAGGAGCTTAACCCAGGTAATGGATCGATTAATGAAGAGTAACCCAATCACCAACAACACTGCATCTCAAGGAATCAGTGGTATGTTGAATGATGCCAAGGAGCTCAACAACCCAAGGATGATACACAGTATGGCTGGACTAGGCTTGGGTAAATCAGAATCTGGCAAACAAGCAGTTGCCTCAGCAGCAGCAGCAGTTGGCATTGTTGCAACAAGGAGGTATAGCACCAGTAACCTTCGTCCCTTATCTCCTCATCTTCCTGTTTATAAGCCACAGAGTAGTTCCATGTCTTCAATTTTTCACCGAATATCGTTTATGTACCTAGCTGGTGTCATTTCATTTTACTATCTTCTGTATGTGAAGATGGGATTGGTTTGCCTCACCTATGATAGTTTCAACTCAGCCTTGTATTATACATCCAAGCTTAACCCAATGTTGGTCCAGGTGTCTGTCTTATCTGTTATCTATCAGATCTTTCATTGGGTTCAGCATTTAGAATTTCTTCCAGTGTCGCTTGGTGGTATTGGGAATCGCTTGACCAAATTGATGAAATTGAAATGATGAATAGTGTGCTTAAGGTTCTTGTTTGCCCTAAAGTTAAGGAAGAAGATGCTGTGAGAGCAAAGATGTTTTGCTTGGTTTCTTGCAGATGTAACATCACTTACAAATAAAGACGAACTAAATTTGATTTCAGTTGAATGATGTTTTTCTATTTTCGTGTCAATATTGTTTTGAATAGTCGACTCTATTTTGAGTAGAAGGAACAAAAATGAGGACCATTAGTGATTTGAATTGTAATGATTATAGCATCGCATTCTGTTGATATGATATTATGACTGAGAAGAGAGCATATAAAATATCATGACTGAGAACTTGAGAAGAGAGCATATAGGATATCGTGACTTAGAATAGAGCATACGGGGTACTTAATTTTCTAAACAACTGCTGCTACAATATCTGATGCCATTAAATAATGTGCTGAATCCTTACCTTTTCTTGCTACAAAAATCATATGAACGGAATTAGCTTAAATGGGATAACCTTGATATTTGTATGAAAATGTTGTTTTCCACCCCCACG